AAGGAAATTTGGAGCTCTCCCGAGTAGTCAATGCATCATTGTATGCGTTACTTGGGGCGTATCGTGAAGACAGCCCTTACAGTAGTGCCCCCGAGGGTCTTGCCGCCACCCGCTATTATGGCGATGCGCTTTGGGATGTTGAAACGTGGCAGTGGCCAACTTGGGTAGCGTTTTGGCCAGAGATGGCTCGAAAGGCTTTGGAGTATCGAGCGAGGTTGATGCACCAGGCGGAGCTCAATGCAAGAAATGTAAATCAGTCGATGCCTGTCATTCGTCCCGTTAGTGACGGCTTACGTTTTCCTTGGCAGTCTGCTTTGGCGGGCATTGAACAATGCCCCGGAAACGACGAGGATCATTTACAAGGCGACATTGCCCTCGCTTTCAAGCAATATCCAGCTGCCTTCGGCATATCCCGCCACCATGCCAGCCCAGCATTCTGGGTGGCGACTGTTCGAGGTGCGCAGTATGCCGTCACGCGTGGCATCTCGCGCCTCCAGGCTTGGGGGAGCCGTGATATGATCGTTTATGAGGATGTTGGGGATGACGATGATGATGATGATGATGATGATGATGATGATGATGATGATGATGATGATGATGATGATGATGATGATGATGATGATGATGATGATGATGGTGTTGGTGTTGTTGTTGTTGTTGTTGTTGTTGTTGTTGTTGCTGATGATGATGATGATGGTGGTGATGATGATGATGATCACGCTGATCATGATGCTGATGCTGATGCTGATGCTGCTGATGATGATGATGGTGATGGTGATGATGGTGAAGCCGACGCTGATGATGATGATGCTAATGCTGATACCTCATGATGGCCCTGATGGCCATGATAGTGATGAAAACGATGCCGATGACGATGACGACGATGACGATGATATGCTGCTGATGATGATTATGATGATGGTGATGGTGATGATGATGTTGATGATGACGAAAATGATCATGACGAGGCTGAGGATGAGGACCAGGATGAAAATGACAATGATGATGCTGATGCTGATGATGCTGCTGATGATGGTGTTGATGCTGATGATGATGACTACGATGGTGATGCTGCTGATGATGACGATACTGCTGATTATGATGCTAATGCTGCTGTTGCTTATCATGACCACGATGCAGATGCTGATGTTATGGTTCTTGGTGGTGGTGGTGATGCTGATGGTGCTGATGACGAGGATGCCGTTGCTGCTGATGATGATGTTGATGACGATCATGATGCTGATGATGATGAGGATGCTTATGCTGATGCTAATTATGCTGCTGCTGATGCTGCTGCTGCTGCTGATGCTGATCATGCTGATGATGATGGTGATGATGATCATGCTGATGATGCTGCTGCTGATTCTGCTGCTGATGCTGCTGCTGATGCTGCTGCTGATGATGATGCGGATGATGCGGATGATGCTGATGCCGATGCCGACGCCGACGCCGACGCCGACGCCAACGACCACGCGGAGGAGGAGAAGGAGGAGGAGGAGGATGAGGATGATGAGGATGATGAGGATGGTGATGGTGCTGATGATGATGCTGACGATGACGATGACGGTGATGATGATGATGATGATGATGATGATGAATGTGAATATGATGATGATGATGATGATGATGATGATGATGATGATGATGATGATGATGATGATGATGATGATGATGATTATGATTATGATGATGATGATGATGATGATGATGATGATGATGATGATGATGATGATGATGATGATGATGATGATGATGATGATGATGATGATGATGATTTTGCATCTCGTGTTGGCTGTCTTTGGGCTGTTTTTTCCTCTTGTGGGGCAGTCTTGGGGGTCCCCTGCGGCCCTCTTGGGCTGTCTGTGGCCCCTCTCACGCAGGCGTTGAGGCTTTCATGGGCCTTCTTGGGGCCCTTTTGGCCGTACGGCGGGCGTATCGGGGCGCCGCCGGCCGTGGGGCAGTCTTGGAGCCGTCTTGGGCAGTCGAAGGGCCTCCTGAGGTCGTCTTGGACCCACGGGAGGCCCTCTGAGGGCCGTCTTGGTGCCGTCGTGGATGTCTCATGGGCCATCGTGGAGTACCCCAGGGCCGTCTTGAGCTAACGGCAGCCCCTGGAGCGCTTTGACGCAGCGCCTGGGAGTGCGGGAAGTGCACGATTCTCTGGCAGCTGCGCGTGGGATGAGGGGTCTAGGAGTTAGCGGCCATGCGGGAAGTGCACAATCCTCGAGTTGGCGCGCAGTGAATGAGGGTTCAGACATTAGCTGCCATGCCGGAAGTGCAAGTGCATCATCCTCGAGCGGTTACGCGTGGAAGGGTGGATCAAGAAGTAGCTGCCATGCGGGAAGTGCACCATCTTCAATGTGGCACGTGGAGAAAGGTGGTTCGGCATGACGTGGCCTCGTTGAGTAGGCGGGATGCACGCAGCAGTCTGCGAGTAGAGGGGGGGGGTCCCTTATTAGATTACAGAAATCCCACCAGACAGCCCTTGGCATATTTCACCGCCTCAAAGTGCCAGGAGGCACGGTGGCGGATTGGTATGTGACAAATGATGTGCAGTGGTTGAAATCTGTTGGATTTCCAGTAATAGAAGGTATTGCGCGTTTCTATGTTTCAAGGGCGTCCTATTACGACGGAGCCTTTCACATCGGAAATACAACAGGACCAGACGAGTACCATGAACATGTAACAGACAGCGCTTTTGGCAACGCGATTGCGCGTGCAACTCTCTTAGCAGCGTGCGAGTTGGCAGCGCCTGCCGGAGCTAAATGTAACTCTACTTTCACGTATGTGGCAGAACATCTTCATATACCGCACGATCCCAAGCAGGACTTCCATCCTGAGTTTGTTGGTTTCAATGTATCTATGAAGATCAAGCAGGCAGACACGATTCTCATGAGTTACCCGCTGCGCGTTGATATGCCATATTCTACTCGCCTGCATGACCTTGAGGTGTACAGTAAGGTGCAAGACCCCCACGGAGTAGCCATGTCTTGGCCATTCATTTCGATTGTGTGGAGAGATGTTGGTGATGAAGATCAAGCCGCTGACGCATTCTACAAAAGCTTTAAGGTTTTTGCGAGGCCTCCTTTCTACACGTGGCATGAGGGAAATGCTTCAGATGGCTCAGCTGGTCAGGGAGCACCAAATCTGGTAACGGCTGCTGGTGGCTTTTTACAGGCCGTGTGGGCAGGTTATGGCGGTGTCCGCTTCGAGGCTTCGGGCATCCTTACGATTCGTAAGCCTAGGCCGCTTCCAGACTCTTCTGTCCTTCGATTGCGGAGCTTGCATTTCCTCGGAGCTCGTCTGGATTTGACAGTTTATCACCATGGATGGACGTTGTCCATTGCTGAAAGTAGTCCGCGCTTAGCGCCAGCGTTGGAGCTTGCGAACGACACCCACACGAGCCTGTTGACGCAGCATCCTATTCACATGCCACCAGGTTCGATGGCACGGGTACGTACGCATCAGGCCACTACAGCCTACTCTCAAGACACTATGTTGTTGGTCTAGGCTTTGCCGGTTTGACCGTATTGGAAGCCCATGTTCCAGGCAGTTGTCTTGTCTTATTTGATAGACTTGCGCCATTCCGCCGACCCCATAACTGTCAATTCGTCAAGAGTCGTGCCACCACGCTTGACCTGTGGGTCAGCAGCCTCGGGGGTGCATATGAGGGTCTCCTGGAGTACTTCCTTGGGGGAGGGCTCTTGGGGGCATCCGGTTGGCTTTGGGAGTCGCCTTGGGGGCCTCTTGTGGGCCTCCTGGGTGCCTCTTGGAAGCTTCTTGGGGCCATCACGGCGTCAAAGACTCGAGAGGTCAGTTCGTATTTCCCCTCTGGGGCCCTTCTTTGAGCCCTCTTTGGCCGTCTTATGACCCCTTGTGGCCGTCTTG